TCGCCCTTTCAGCCGTGGGGGCGTTATAATGTGACGGTCAATCCCACTATTCGTTGGCGGTGGGTGGTGATGACTAGCTGCCTTCCCTCTGGTCTTACATTGCTAAATTATGGACGGCTAGTGCAGATAGCCCTCGTGTAGCTTTGCGTGAAATTCAGAAACAAAACAATCATTATAAATATGCATTGTCTGAAATATTGTTTGAATATCTTCTGTAATAATAAAAACAAACAATTAACAATAAAGCTCAAAGTCCTGCAAATTGTAATTGGATGAACTATACCAAGTACTCCTTTTGGTACTTTTTATTTCTCTGCAAGAAGTTTGATATGAACGGAGACTTGAGTGCTGAGCACACATAGACATTACTTTATCTCAGCGATAAAAGCAGTCTACAGCTTTTAGTTATCCTCGCAGCTTTATCATAGTACGTTCCAAAGCTCTGCTTATAATGTGTATGCCATAAAGAAGTGTTCCGATGATGTGGTAAGAGAGACATATGTGTGGTTTATCAAGTGTCATTCTATCCATATATACCTATAAGCCTGCTTCCAAAGTACACAGCCCAACTCTTATTCAACCGTAACCCATTCATTAAACTAACTTAATCTAATGAAGCGAGAGCCTTCTGGATAAGTGCATTTGCTTTTCACCTTAGCTCTAAGCCCCCTTAATAACTTATCATATTGTGTTACATTAATCAAATCATTTCTGGTAAGCTCCAAGTTTGTGAGGGAAAGTGAGAAAAACTGACTCCGCCCATAAGGTTTATTTCTGAAATAAACATGCAAATATTATTTAAAGATCACACTTATTGCTTAACGATACATGTATTCTGTCCTCATACAGCGTTCATCGATCCATCTGTCCGTCTGCCTCTCTGCCTATTTATTTGTCTATATATCTACCATCCGAATCTTGATAACTTACGATGATATATGTGCATTTCTCTATCAAAATTGACTAGTTCTAAATTAAGAGTTATGAAATGGCCCTGTAGACCAGGCCTCTTACACATCTCTACAATAAACTAAAAACTTTGGTAGACATCATTTATGTCTACAAATCTGCTTATGACTAAAAATGACCATCAATATCAAGCTGAAAAATAAAATATTGGTAATTTTATAAGAACAGCTCCAGAGATATGTTAACACATATCAGTTCATTACTGAAGCATACAGTTCTTGATGAAATATTTTAAATTAACCAAAGAAATAGAGTATCCCTTGTCAGTTTCTTCGATCAGTTTCTAAGTTTCTCTCAGGTTGTTGAGTTTGTAAAATTATGTGCTGTCAAAAGAATGAAACTTTCAACTATTGTTTAAAAAAGTATTATCGTATCTACATAAAAGTAACAACAAAGAAACTGAAGAGATGAGACAAGTTTTTATTAGCAATTCTAAACAAAGACTCATGGTGTTATTGTAAGTACTGACTCGAAACAGAATTTTGTCAGAGCAAACGTAAACTATATAACGTCATTATTGTATCATCTTGGATTAAAATCAAAATGATAAGCAAAAAATGAGCCGAGCATGTCTTAGTGGTGAATGTGTCGAGCTGCGAATCACAGAAACAGAGCTGGGTATCTGATGCCAATGAACACACACGTCACTTTCAGTGTAGACGCGCTATGAAAGTGACAGTCACACCACGAGGGCTGCTGGCTGGCTATCTTCCTTCTGATTAGTAGTTCAAGATTAGGAATGGTTATACCTGAACCCTTTGACCAAGTCGTTTAATCCAGTGGTTCTTAACCTTTTTGAAACCAAATTTGGCGTCAAATTTGTGTCACGGAACCCTTCACAGCGTTCATTGCAAACAACATTACTGCAATAGTATATCAATAATTCCAGACATGGTACGTATGTTTAATGCAACTATATACCCACACATACACATCCAAAGCATGAACAATTTCTCGAGCCAATTACTTGGACATACACACACACATACATAACTAGAAGCGTGCTCTCTCAAATAATAACAGTTTACACGACTCAAGCACCTGTTTGTACCTAGTCTCACTCACTAATATAAAACAATGCAGTTACTTGTTGTTATGTTGTGTCATTATGAAACCCGCTGTAGTAATAAAGAAATATTATGTAGTTGGATTGCAATTATGTGACTAGTATGTATTTTACGCATTAGAATATGTGGAACTTTTGCATTCCGCGGAACCCCTGGATGTCTGTGGAGGAACCCTGATTGAGAAGCACTGTTTTAGTCCAAACGTGTATAAGACGTCATACAAGTTAAAAATTAAAATTTTTGCTATAGAAAAAAAAAGGGAGGGGTGGAGTTGGTGGGGTCTGTCTTGTCCAATAATTTGTTTTTGTTTGTGTTTTATGGAATTTCTGGTAATGACAAAATAAAAGACGAATTATATATAGATCAAACATTTTTCAAAGCTCAGTTATATATAGAACTACGTTTAATGTTTTCGTTATGGTAGTTTTTCTTGGGATTGTTTCGATAACCTACTGCGTCTATTTTTGTTATCTTTTTTATTTAATTATTTTAATGGGTGTTAAATATTTCATAATGTTAGGAATGGTGCGATAGCAAAAACGAACAAAATAGATAATAGGTTAAGAAAAATAATGTACACAAATAAAATAAATAATAACTTATTTACCTCGCATTAAATAATATTTAAACCGGCTTCCAATCTATATCTACAGATTGAAAAACGGCTTATGTAAGACAATGAATATTTAAAAAGGTTGATGGTTGTAGGGGCAAATGACATAGGAAAAGTTTTTCACTAAATAATGTGACTGCGAGATTTGTGGTTAAAGACTTACACCAAGAAGGTTCAAAAGAGTTCGACTTTTCCACAAGAATGCAATAGAAATTGTTTTTGAAGAGCATAGCATTTTTATTTTTCAAGTGCCGTCTTACATAAAGATCACAGGATTGTCACTTAATAGAAGCAATTGAAGCGAGTCGAAAGAAAGAAATGTCGTCCAAACTATTTTTGTTGTCTTTTATTACTTTTTCACGTTTGGATGAAAATTTCGGGAGCGGAACATAATGAAAAGTCGATTATTAGAGCACAATATTCAAGATATTGTATTATAATAGTATTTCTCCAACATATTTTGTTTCACACACGTTTCTGCACAGGATGCTTTTGTTTAGGACCAGAACGCCAGAGCGGGGCTACAGTTGAGAGACAAGTATTTGCAAAACGCTATTTGTAAAGAGTATGCGCACTACAATACTTTAAGATAACTGTTAGAATGCTAAAAGCTAAGGACAACTGAAAATCAATAGGCTTAATATATATTGTTTGTTTGTTATTAAGCACAAAGCTACACAAAGGGCTACCTGTGCTCTGCCCACCACGGGTATCGAAACCCGGTTTTTAGCGTTGTAAGTCCGCAGGCATACCGCTGTGCCACTGGGGGGCTATATATATATATATATAGTATAGACGGCTGATAGTGGGTATACAAGTAACGTTGGGTTCCTCGTTATTATGAACAATTGGCTTAAATATTGTAATAAAGATGAAAAACATTAGGTGGAAAATTTTTAGGTTACTCTTAATTTGTGTATTGCGAATTTCAAATCGAAAGTATGTCAAAATAATATATCAGAATTATCTTTTTTTTTTGTCTGCAAAAAGTTCCTGCCTAGAAGGCCTTTCATTCGATACCAGAACTTGTCAGCTGGGTTAGACAATGAAAGAAAAAATTATCTGAAACGACATATGTATATCGATACAGTACACGAACTTCTTGGATAAATTATGAGGGCTATGAAAAAAAAAAACATCTTTAGTTAATGTGGCCCTCCTGTGGCTCAGCGGCAGGTGTGAGGCTTTTACCACTAAAAATATGGTTTCGATACCCGCGGTAGGTAGAGCACAGGTAGCCTATTATGTAGCTTTGTGCTTAACAACAAACAAATAAAAAGTCAACATGATTTTTACTAAGAATATCGAAACTTTTAGCTGTTTTTCAAGGTTTACATATATCAACGCAACAATAACGATTAATAAAAAATGCAAATATCAGCTATTGTTTATAAATATCAGTTATTGTTCATGGTTTACGTACACATATTACATCATATTTCTAAAATCTATCTTCCTTCTTGGTTTACCCCCAGTGGCACAGTGGCATGTCTGCGGAATTCCAACGCTAGAATCCGGGTTTCGATACCCGTGGTGGGCAAAGCACAGATAGCCTATTGTGTAGTTTGTGCTTAATTACAAACAACAACAACCTTCTTGGTTTCGTCAATAAGAATATTATGGCTTTTATCAATCACTGTTTGATATATACACACATATATATATATACATACAAATATAGCTCATATAACATACAAATATACATTTGATCGAAATTATAAGTTCATGCTCCTCCTTTCATTTTGACTATTGGTGGCTCAGCGAAAAAATTAAATTGAAGGTTCTAACCATGTGGCGGGTGCAGTACAGCATAGATAGTCAATTGTAGAGCTTTGTGCTAAATCCAAAACAAACTTTCCCTGTCGATGATGTTAAATGTTTCTTTGTATTTCGGGTTTTCTGTAGCTACAACTATTTCTTTTTTTGTGATTTACATATATAATAAACACTGAAATGAAAACTAATTAAAATACAACGTACAGACTTAACGTAATTAATAAAGGTTCTATATATATTGTGACCAGCAGTATTTCAGGAAATGATTTACACTAGATTTGTTATTAGGGAAGTAACAAAAACATTTCATATATGGTTAATAAGTGATGAAAATGTGAAGATATTCATCAAACAATGGTTTATAAAGTAGTGTGGGTTGATTAGTTAAAGTTTCCTTATATGTATTAAACACAATCACATTTAAGCCTCTACTGCCTCCTATACTATCCGATTTGTTCCACACGGACCTCTGTTTTCTCTGGCAAGTATTGATTGAGTACGTCTAAGGCCAGTGGTGTCGTCAGAAAGTTGTTCCAAAAGCTCGAGAATAGTAGCACTTCTGCTGTAGCTCGACCGCGGACTATTCCTTGAACTATAATGTGCATCAGTCCCGAGGCTTGATTGATAGAACTAGGTTTTCACCGTGTTATCTTATTCTAACTAATTTCATGTCAGGCCAACTGTTCTACAATCAACTTTGTTTCTGCCCACAGTTAGCTATTCTTTAAGTTCAGACTATTCCAGACTTTTGACAGTAAAACCCACCAGATCATCATCTGAAATAACTGAAACATTTCAGTTGCTTATATCCAGCTATTGTATTGTTTTGAAGTCAATAAGTTTGCACTAGGCATTCAAAATGGTCCATCGTTTCACTTTTCGCCTGGTTATGATTGTGTTTTATGTTGTTCAATCAAACAAACACATGAATTCACAAGCTGCTGAACCTACAGAAAGCCCTACTGAGGTGGCCAACGTTTGGACATCATATGACCTCCAACTGTCCAGCTGTCCAGAAAGTGACATGGGAATCGATACTCAACCTTGGCGAAATATACCTAACGGCGCAAATGTTATATTAAAACCAGAAAACGTAAGTGTTATTAACAACCTAGAAAACTATTTTAATTGTTTTCTTTAAGGACACTAACCAAAGCAAATTATCTTAAACACCTAAAAACTAAGCAGAAAACGTTTTGATAACATCAGTATGTGACTTCGGTTATACTCTTAGTCCAGATCTAATAATGCTTGGAGACGGCTTAAATGGGTAATGAAGAAAAAATTAATACAAGTTTAACATAACAGCAAATGTAGAACGTTTCGACAAGGTTTTGTCATCAAACCGTGTCGAAACGTTGTACATTTGCTGTTATGTTAAACTTATATTAAAGTTTTTCTTCATTACCCATTCAAGCCGTCTCCAAACATTATTAGTCTCAAAGTGGGATCCTCGTCATCGAATTAGTCCAGATCTAGTTTTGTTTAGAAAGCTGTTTTCTTTTAACCATTTTACATATTAGTTGCTAAGTTACGGGTGTTTTTCTAATTGTATAAATGTGATAAAATGTTAACTCTGTAGAATCTTCTTCTTCATTCGACCTTAATCCCTTTTAATGTTGAGGTCGGCCACTCAAGTATTTTGTATTAGCCAAGAATTATACTCGGGTGGATGGCCCTGACAGCATCCCTTGAGGATGAACATGTTCAATAATGGGAATTCAAACCCGCAACCCTTATGCCTATCTTAATTCTGTAGAATATTTCTGTTCAAAATATCTTTGGGCACAAGTCGAATTAAAGCATAAAAGAAAACAGAAAATGTCACTTATATGTTATTCTCAGACTCTAAATAAACATATAAAAATTAATCTGTTTAAAATATAGTTTAATTCGTTATCTTTTAACTATTATTTGTTTACTTCCACGTTACGTCTAGTTGTGTTTTGAGATCAACTTTGTTAGAAAATTGCAATTTAAACCCACTGAAACTTAAATTCCTACATTCAACGTTTGCAATGTTTTCACCATAGTTGATGAAAATGAACATTATTATTAACAGCAGTTATGATAGAACTTCCATCAACATTCTTCACTGTAATTGTAACAAGTCTCCACAATGTTCTTAATGACATCTAGTAAAGTATCTATTACATCAACTTGTCATGCTATACAAACAACCGTCTTGTCGAAGTTAATATGATAATTACACGAACCACTTATGATATTCTTGACTATTACTATAATTATCGTTCTATTAATAGCCATAATTGCAGCGATAATAATAATGATTGCTGATAAAAATTCTTTGTAACTGTACCAACCAACGATGATAATGTGACCACGCTGACCAAAAATATAATTATTTTAAACTAGGAACCAAATATTACTCTTATCCTCTTCCGGTATAACATACCTTAGTTCCACCCCTCCCCCATGGGTAAGTGGTAAGTTAACGGACTTACAATGCTAAAATCGAGAGTTCGATTCCACGCGATGGAAAGAGTGCAGATACCTAGCTCATTGTGTAGCTTTGCAAAGAAAACAACAACCAACAAGACAAGAAAGAATAAAACTAAGGGACTAAAACAAGTATACTTCAGAATACGCATATCGAAATACATTCATAAATTGTATTACGTTAAATATGCAAGTGGTATACTCTACAATGTCACCGTACTTTTTACATTTTCTACTGGAATGTGTTAATACTTGATCTGTTCATATATAGAATACAACCATCAAACGTTACTTTCGTTTAATAGACAACGATAATACTAATACGCATATAGAACAAAGTTTAAGTATGAATAGGTGTGCGAAAATAGAACGGAGCCATCTGTCAAGTATTGGAAACTGGTCCAGGACATCTTAATTCTAAAACGAAATTATGTGACGTATTGTTCGAAGACGAATTGAATCTTGTTTGTTTGTTTTTGTGCTCATTCGAGAAATAAAACCAATAATATCTTTCTACGTAATTTTCATCTTTAGACAAATAACGTGATGGAATAGATGAACGAGTCACATCAACAGAGAACTACCGAAACTGAGATTCCTATATAATGTTTTTGTTTTTCTCTCAGTGGTTAGAAAACGCAATCTTTGGAAAAGTTCCACAAACTTAATGTAAAACGTAACTCTATATATTGTTATAGCGAGTACGAGAAAAGAGTCGCAGGTGTTCCACGAAACCATCTAAAAATGGTCTGCTTTCTGACTTCGGTTCTACGGTGGAACAACAACATATTTAATTTTCCAGTTATAAAACTGGAACCAAAGCTAATATTAGTCTATCAAAGAAACAGTATTAATACATTTAACTGTAACTAGACAATCTTCAAACTTTATTGTAGTATACTTGTTTGTTTGTTTGTAGTTCAGCACAAAGCTACACAAAGGACTATCTGTGCTCTGCCCACCACGGGTATCGAAACTCGGTTTCTAGCGTTGCAAGTCTGCTGTGCCAATGGGGGGGGGGGCTTGTATGAAACAGGCTCTACATAAATTATCTTTGTTCAAACTAAATGTTCATGAAATAAAGTAAAAAGTAATTGTCCAAGATCTATTATTCCAATACTAGTAGCATTATCTTAAATGATTTAAGTTTGATGTATTTTTATTAGCAGAAGACATTAAAAAGGAATGAAGAAAAGGGTCAACACTCAGATTGTTATTTAAAACTCTTATACTTGCTACTAATTGATTGTTTTTTTGAAGAGCATGTAACAACCCTTTTATTAACAAGATATTCATACACTCAGATCATAAAGGTATGTTTAAAACGGGGGTTTAGAATTTCTAAGGCTAGAATATATCTTGTACTTCATAGCATTAGACAACAAGGGAATATGGCACCAAGATCACCTAGGAAGAGAACTGTAACAAGTCATATTCCAGTCATGGAATACGACTTGTTATAGTGGTCATCTTATAACGTGTGAGAATCCAGTAGCAAAAGCCGTCCAAATCAAGAAATAGAATGCAACATAACCATGACAGGATCTCTGTCTGTAAAAGCGACTCAAGTCACGTGTACACAAGTTGCTTCCACCACATATTTATTCAACCAAAGTTGTAAAACGAAACGAGTATTAGTGATATTCTATTGGCACACATGCCTGTCAATTTGCCGGATGCAGCACCTACTGATTTCTGTGCAATTAGATTTGTTGAAACGGACGCTGGGATACTTTGATCTTCCCAGACTAAACAGGTTATTGAAAGCAGTAGGGATGAGGTGTGTGCTTTGGATATGACAAACCTTGCGACGGAGCCTTTTGCAATGTAAAGTAAGCTGAAGGGCTATTGTCACGATGCACGTCAAGATGTGTTAAGGCTCTAAAATACTTTAATATAACGTACTCAACCTCTGTAAAATAGTATTTCCAGTATATCCACAAACACCAATAAAGTCAGATAGGTTCATTCACGACTATGCTATTATCATAAACAGAGACCGGAAAAGACTGCGACAAACAATAAATGAATTAAATTGTTTGAATGCGTTTCTATTCAAATAAAAAAAAAGATTGTTTAGAGTAATTATTCTTGATACTTATAAAGCACTTAAACGAATTTCACGTTTAAGTTACATTGCTTGGTCAAAAAGTTAGAAACAATTATCTAATAGTGTATTGGACCATCAGCTTGAATCAATTGTGGTATAAGCTTCATAAGTTTTTGGACTACGTTATGTTCGATTTTTACCCATTTCTTCTGTAATATTAACTTCAAATATTTCACAGTTGAAGGTAGAGCATACTTCTCACAAATTCTCAATTGGGTGAGGTCTGTGGATTGTTGTGACCAGAAAATATTAATTCTTCCTCGTGCTCTGCAAATAAATTACGAACAATTACAGTATAATTAATGGTAAAATTGTTATCTTGACAATATCCACCAACTAAAGAGTCAAAATAGAACATATACGAATTCATTTGGATACCCGAGGATATTCAGACTCAACTTTTCATAGGATTTAATGCAAACACCCACAAGAGACTGAGAAACCCAGCTCCTGTCATAAAAATTAACCCCACGTCATTACTCTACCTCCAGCAGCTTGCACATTGGAAACAGTTCTGCTTAATATAGTAGTCAAAGCTTAGTCACCTGACAACAGTTTTAATTAATACTGCAAATCAAAGCTTAATCAACTGACAATGCCCAACATAGCCAGGAGGTTAGGGCGCTCGACTCGCAATCTGCGGGTCGCGAGTTCGAATTCCCGTCACACCAAACATGCTCGCCCTTTCAGCCGTGGGGGCGTTATAATGTGACGGTCACTCACACCATTCGTTGGTAAAAGAGTAGCCCAAAGTTGGCGGTGGGTGGTGATGACTAGCTGCCTTCCCTCTAGTCTTACATTGCTAAATTAGGGACGGCTAGGGCAGATAGCCCTCGTGTAGCTTTGTGCGAAATTCATAAAAAACAAACAATCAACTCACAACAGATATTATATTGTTAATATAATATTGTTAGTCAAAGCTTAATTAAAAGTCAAACAGTTGTGCTTAATATCGCAAATCAAAGCTTAATCAACTGACAACAGTTCTACTTAATATAGTAGTCAAAGCTTAGTCAAGAGATTATACCAGTTCTAAGCTTGTTCAATTGAAAACAGTTCTACATTATGAGCTGAGACCAAGCTTGTCAACTCACAAAATATTATGAGATATATTAAAAAGGTGTTTTTGTTGTTGTTGTTGTTGTTTTTGTACACGAGTCATACTCACTATCCTCTGAGAACAATTTTGTACACTGCCAATCTAAGCTATTGAATGTTCTTTATGTCTATAACTCAGAAATGTGAGCTTAATGAAGTTAGTGAGTTTATATCGTCACCAAAAGCTAGTCGTGGCCTATAGTTAGCGTATATTCCTGACTGTGTATCTGAGGGTCCATAATTCGTCTACCGTTGTCGCAATTAAAATTGATGATGTTAAATAACTTTCTTCCCTCTAGTCTATCAGTTTAAAATTAGAGCCGGCTTGCGCAGACAGACCCTTGTAGCCTTGCGCGAATATCTGAAAACAAACAAACAAACAATTTACACCAAAGCAAGAATATTGTTGTAGTCATTTTGTGACA